CATTGATCAATATGAAATATATATGGTTGAAATTTCTATCTGATATCTGATAGGTGTCAAAGAATTTATTGTATTTATATATATATAGGTAAGCAGTTGCAAAGAGTAGTATTAACATTGGATCAGAATCGCAGAAATTTTGCAATCAGATCTGTTCTGCATAATAACGTTAGTATTGGGATCACGAATGGCCAAGAATGGTATAATTCAGAATTAAACGAGTCGAATACAAGTGGAAAGTCAACGAAGAAAATGCATTATTTTGTTAAAATTTGCTTTGTTGCTAATAGATATGGCACGTATCGCCAAAATGTTATCTTTTACTTTGGAGATTATCCTGTGATACTCCAAAGGATTTGTATGGATTGTTTGCCAACCGAAGATTTTACAAGGATTCACGAAGCAACAAATTATCAATTCTCTCAGAATCCAAAAACATGGAATAACGAAACGTCACAAATTTGCTGGTTTGAGTCACCTTTTGTGTCCGCAAAAGATCCAAAGGAGGACAAACTGTCGGTGATCTATCCTTATCCCGATAGAAGCAATTTCATCCTGACTCAAGAGTCTCTTACCGACAATTGTTTGACACCAGAGAATTACAGAGGCCGTCTTCATGAGTTGATCACCGTTGAAGAGCTAGCTAGACACGAACAGATAGCTAGATATAACGAAACTTCATACATGCGTCTTCTTAGTCATTATGTTTTGACATCTGCAGGCGATGGATCCACCATTGCCAAATATGCACCACCTGGTGAGCTCTTTGCTCAGGTGCGGTTCCTTTCAGCAATTATAGCTTTCTTTCTCTTCCTACTACTTCATTCTTCTACTACTTTGAACAGTAATAATAAAATTAATGCTAGTCTCACAAATATATATATATATATATACATACATATACATACATACATACATACATACATACATGCATACATACATACATACATACATACATACATACATATATATATATATATATATATACTCTAATTTAGTATAGTATTATCTCGCGTTCTGATTCTTAAAAAAAATTGTATGATGAATTTTTATCACAGCTGCCGCTAAGCCGCAGTATCTCAGAAGATACGAAAAGCGGCAGACTGTTCCTGAGAGGTTGCAATAAAGTACTTTTCAAGAATTTGTCACGAGCCACGAACATGATATTCGAGGCGCACATAGAGGACAAGTGTACACAGACCGTGTACGTTAGATTGTCGAAAGAGTGCGTGCACACGTTAAATTTGGTGGCCAACACAGATCTCCAGGTTCAAGTGCAATTTTTATTGAATCGGCTACCTTTCTGCGAGTGGCACAAGACCGTGGATAGTTTGCCCGATATAGGATTAGTATTTTTGAACAAGGCCCACATGGATATGAAAGAGATCAACTTTTTGGATCTGTTGGGGAGGGACGCGGTCAATTTCAGATTTTCATTGCTCAACGTTGAGCAGAAGAAAGCTTTGGCCGCGATCACGGCCCCCGACAAAATTTCAATGCCACCTGTCCTACTGTTGGGCCCGTTTGGAACGGGGAAAACGTTCACCATTGCCCAAGCGCTCCGTTACTTGCTCACCAAGAGCTCCGAGTACAAGATACTCCTCTGCACGCACAGCAACAGCGCTGCCGACCTATACGTGAAAGAGTTTTTCGACGTTTGGTATAAATTCGAGAAAATACCCCGATTGAAGCCGGTTAGAATTTACTACAAAGGTAGAGCCAAGAACACGGTACGTCTGTCCGGAAGGAAAAGAAAAAAAATTTCGCTAATCCAACCGATCGGAGAGATAGTTCCCCTCTGCTCTCATTCCACCATTTCAGGTGCATCCAGTGGTTCAGGAGTACAGTCTAATGAAAAAGAACGGCACCTTCCGAAACCCGACCGACGAAGATCTGAGAGATTGCGGCCTGATCGTGACCACACTGGCAACGTCCAGCTGCCTCACCAGCCTGAATCTCTCGTTCACTCACATAGTGATCGACGAGGCTGCCCAGGCGTTGGAGTGCGAGGTCCTCATACCGTTGTCCCTCGTCACCCCTCAGACTCGCCTTGTCCTCGCCGGTGATCAGATGCAACTTGCGCCTGAAATATACAGCGACCTTGCAAGCGAGCGCGGCCTTGGTATAAGCCTGTTGGAGAGGATCTACGGGATGTATCCCCAAACCCATCCATGCAGAATTCATCTGCACCAGAATTACAGGGCGCACGAGGACATCATTAGATTCACCTCGGAAATGTTTTACGAGGGGGTGGTGAAACCGGCCAACGACATGTTGATACAACACCCCGTCTTAAAACCTTTGACATTTTACGCCGTTCAAGGTGTGGAAGTACAGGTACGTGCCAATCACGGAAGGAACAGAGTAATCGACAAAAGTTAGTTTTCAACTATTACAAATACACACATACACACATTTGATACATTTGCTTCTTCCAACAATACCCAATTTTCCCTCCTCTTCGGCATCCTCGGTAAACACGTGTTTCCTTTTTTTTTTATCAAACTTTCAACTTTGTTTCTTTTTTCTCTCTCTCCCTCTCTCTCTACCAGGACATCCACTCGACAGGCTACGCGAACATGAGCGAGGTGTACGAGCTGGTGAACCGCGTCCAGGAGCTGAGGAACAACTGGCCGGTGGACCGTTGGGGCTCGTACGACGAGAAGTCGATCGGTGTCCTCGTCTATTACGCGGAACAGGTTCAAAGGATTCGAGCCGAATTGCGGGAACGCGGGATGACGGACGTGTCCGTGGAGAGGGTGTTGAACGTGCAGGGGAAGCAGTTCACAGCCGTGTTCATAAGCACGGTGCGCACCAAACATTGCTGCCGATACTCGGCCGAGAGGAACGTGAAGGACTACGGGTTCCTGACCAATCCCAGACTCCTGAACACGGCCATGACGCGTGCCAAGTGTCTGGTTGCCGTGGTCGGTGACCCCGTCGCCCTCTTCACCATCGGCTCGTGCAGGAAGCTGTGGCAAAGGTATCTGGAGCTGGCCGATCTCCACGGCATCGATCGGGACACGTTGAAGCACCATCTCAGCCTGGTGCCCGAGCTCCCTCTCATCGCCCCGTTGAATCCGTTGGCAAGAGAATTCGTACCGAGAAGCAACTTCTGCATGGTTGTGGAATACGTGCCGGTCCCAATGATGTACCCGGTGTTCCATTGCCCGTATTTTTCGTAGTGCCGGCGGAAATCCGAATTGGAATCGAACGATATGATCGATTGAGCATCGTCGTTCTTAACCCGACTTCTCTGACCCGACCTTAAGTGTCTTATTTTTCTCTCCTCTTCTTCTTCTTCTTCTTCTTCTCCTTCCTCTTCCTCCTCTTCTTCTACTTCTTCTTTTTTTTTTTTTTCAACCGAATGTCGAACGAAGAAGAAAGAATTGAATTTTTTTTGGTGGTGCATCGATCGTTCTCGATGAGAAGATGACGAGATTTTTTAATATACTTGATATTTTGTAAAACGTGAAAAAAAAAAAAAAAAAAAAAAATAGCGACGATACGACAGTGAATCGATGTAGCGCCATTGGATATGTTGGGTTGGAAAGATTAATCGGTTGATCAACGATGATGGCTTGTATGTATACATTATATATCTCTGTGTCGGTTATTGGGGGGGATTACTAATCCTTGGAGTGTCTCTATCTCTGTCTCTATCTCTCTACCCTCCTACTCTCTTTCTCTCTGTCTCTCTATCTCTCTGTTTCTCTCTCTGTGAATAGATTTAAGGAATTAACAATTGTTGCTATATAAATAGATTTGAATTGTGCACTTAGTCTTATGAATGTGCCCTCGGAAATCAATGTTTATTATAGATCGTATTATTTCTTTAATCCTTTCGCCTTGTTGGTTTATCAGAGATGCATCCGTTTGGAGATTGTGCAGCTTATCATATACGACACTATATATACCGATCGATTATAGAAATATATTTTTTACTAGTTCCTTTACTAGTTTACGCAGTTTTGTATGAATCTTTTAATATTCCCTTTTTAATCACCTTGCATATAAGCGGTATGATATGAAAACGTGACGCTGCCCTTACAAATTGTAAAATTCACGAAATGACCGAGGAACGCTTCCTTTTATTAAAAAAAAAAGAAA